TAAAATAATTCTTAGAAAAAATATTTAAAAATAAATAAAGCTTTCTTCTTCCATCCTTTCCTTCTTTTCTTTTGTTTTCTTTCTTCCTGAGTAAGAAATACAGAGAGAGACATGCACAAAGAGATGGCATCCTCATCTTGGCCTTGACCCCAAAATCCACCCCCAGCTTCAACCAGCCCCAGATGATGGGTGCATTAAAGCCTGGTGAACTTAGGGAGGTCTGTGGATGCAAACCTGGAACCTCTCCATGTGGGTCAGCCTTGCAGAGCATCCTGTTTTGACTGTCTGCCACTGTATGGTTTCCATATATTTTAAAAAAATGTTCCCATCCCCCTCAAAGAATGCATGCTCTGACTGGAGAGAGACAGAGAGAGGGAAAGGGAGACATCATTCCCCTGGGGGAATGGCCATACTATAATCCTTTTTCTTTCATTTTCCTCCTGAGAGTTTGGGCATGCATGCATATGTTCCTGGTGCAGTTTTCAAGCCACGAGGTCCAGATCTGAAACTTGAATTGTGGTTGGCCATGTAGGAATCCAGCGCCTCAACCACCATGCCACCTGCTGCCCTCCTGGCCCCCATAGAGTTTAATCAGTAATAAACTATTGCAATAGAGGAAAAGTCTAGTATGAGTTGAACTCAACTTTGATTTGTACGGAGGGGACGGGATGTTCTAAAGGGAGAAGGAGGGGATGAGGAGGGGTTGAATTGGAGCTCGGTAGCATAAGGGAAGTGAAAAATTACAGAAAATGTTGGTTCATGTGAAATCCATCTAGGTTTGCTATTTGGCACTTATCTAAGTGAGGCTCCTGGCCTCCCATGGAGGCTGGGGGACAGGGGCCTTGTCTTCAGGTGCTGGCTGGAACGAAAAGGAAAGTCCTCTGGTAGCCTGAGGTTTTTTAGGCAATCCCTGTAACGGGGACTAGGTCATCCTGGAGATGTGGCTTTGAGCTATTGGAAACTCTGTTAGAGTTTGCTCAAGTCTTTATAGGTCAGGGCTGAGGCCTAGTTAAGAAAGGGCTTGGAGGAACCTGGTTGGAGTTTGGTCAAGGAGAGAGTCTTGGTCAATGTGAAAAATGAAAAAAAAAATAGATAAGGGTACCAGCAGGTGGCATGGAGATTAAGGCACTGGATCCCACATTGCTGGCTGCATGGTACAAGTCCTGGACCCAATGGCTTGAAAATCACAGCAAGTGTGTGTGTGCATGCCCAAAATCCTGAGAGGAGAATGGAGGAGAGAAGAGATTATAACATGGCCATCCCTCCAGGGGACTAGTTTCTCACTTTCCCTCTCTCTCTCTCTTGCTTTCTCTCTATCTCTCTGGCAAGTACATGTGCCCTATAGCAAACAAAACAAAGCAAAGCAAAAACAAACAAACAAAAAAACTACAGATAGGGCTAAAATTCTCTGCCTATCATTCTTGGCCTTCATTCCTTTATGCCTCTTAGTGCTAATCTTACCCTGCTATCGGGTAGGTGAGGCTCCTTCCAAATTTTGAATGCACTTATATACATAGGAGGGAGCTCCAAATAGATAATAGAAAAACAGAATTGAACTATTAGTTAAAAAAAAAAAACTATTAGTTTATTTTGGTGCAAAAATTTTGAAACCCATGCAGAGTTTTTTTTTGTAATACATGTTTTCTAGGAACCCTGTAAGACCACATATCTATGTATATGTACATGAATATGTGTATGTGAGTATGTACAGATGTGGCCAAGAGAATGCACGTGTATGTCTTCACAAAACTATAATCACTGCTTTCACTCAACCAGACGTACTGGGAGTCTTTCCATGATTAGTATCCTTATCTGAAATGCTTGGGATCAGAAGTGTTTCAGATTTTGTTTCAGATTTTTGGTGGTCATTTTGGACTATTTGTACATGCATAATGAAATACATTGAGTATGGACCAAAGTTAAACATGAAATTCATTTATGGTTCCTATACACATAGCCTGAAGGTAATTTTATACAATAGTTTTGGATTGCAGAGTTTTGACTGCAACCTGTCACTTGAGGTCAGGTATAGAACTTTCCACTGTGACATCTTATTGGTGTTCAAAATGTTAGGAATTTTGGAGCATTTCAGATTTTCAGGTTAGGGATGCTCAACCCGTGCTGTTCTGACCCAGTATAGTATTCTATGGTATGACTATTCCATAATTTCTCTGGATTGAACAATGCAATTCAGGTTGTTTCCAACTTCCGTTGAAATGGCAATTGACTGGATGGCATCCCTGGAATGCCTCCCTGAAATACTTTGAGAACGCAGAAATGAAGGGTGAAATCGCTGGGCCCTAGGTCAAACATTTAAAAATTTTAGTAAATACTGCCAAGTTGCCTTTTTTCCCTATATTTGTTTATTTATTTCTTCTATGAGATACACACAAGGACTCCTAAAGGGTCCCCACCAAAAACCCACCCCTAGTGACTGCTGGCTGGGATGATGGGCATGCAAAAGTATACTGCACACTCAGGGAGGTCTGGGGATGCAAACCTGGGGCCTTTTCCATGTGGGTCCAGTTGTTACTGCTGCACCAGCACCTAATCCCCACATTACCTTTTCACTGCAACCCAAGCCACTTACCTCCCCATTGGTGGATGAGAGTGTTTCTCTTCATACTCTTGCCAACACTGGATGGACTCAAACTTCTAACAGTTGTTAGTTTGTTAGGTCAAAACTAGTATTGTTGTTTGTTTCCATTGTCCATCTGTATTTCCTCTTCTGGGATCTGATCCAGCTTGAGCTATTAACATGGCTTCTATTGAATCCTCTGTTATTTCCATAGCTTTTCCTGACTGAGGAGTCACAACCCCTGCGTCCTGCTAATGGCAGGATAAAGAGAGGACAGGGTGCTCAAGTCTTTATAGGTCAGGGCTGAGGCCTAGTTAAGAAAGGGCTTGGAGGAACCTGGTTGGAGTTTGGTCAAGGAGAGAGTCTTGGTCAATGTGAAAAATGAAAAAAAAAATAGATAAGGGTACCAGCAGGTGGCATGGAGATTAAGGCACTGGATCCCACATTGCTGGCTGCATGGTACAAGTCCTGGACCCAATGGCTTGAAAATCACAGCAAGTGTGTGTGTGCATGCCCAAAATCCTGAGAGGAGAATGGAGGAGAGAAGAGATTATAACATGGCCATCCCTCCAGGGGACTAGTTTCTCACTTTCCCTCTCTCTCTCTCTTGCTTTCTCTCTATCTCTCTGGCAAGTACATGTGCCCTATAGCAAACAAAACAAAGCAAAGCAAAAACAAACAAACAAAAAAACTACAGATAGGGCTAAAATTCTCTGCCTATCATTCTTGGCCTTCATTCCTTTATGCCTCTTAGTGCTAATCTTACCCTGCTATCGGGTAGGTGAGGCTCCTTCCAAATTTTGAATGCACTTATATACATAGGAGGGAGCTCCAAATAGATAATAGAAAAACAGAATTGAACTATTAGTTAAAAAAAAAAAACTATTAGTTTATTTTGGTGCAAAAATTTTGAAACCCATGCAGAGTTTTTTTTTGTAATACATGTTTTCTAGGAACCCTGTAAGACCACATATCTATGTATATGTACATGAATATGTGTATGTGAGTATGTACAGATGTGGCCAAGAGAATGCACGTGTATGTCTTCACAAAACTATAATCACTGCTTTCACTCAACCAGACGTACTGGGAGTCTTTCCATGATTAGTATCCTTATCTGAAATGCTTGGGATCAGAAGTGTTTCAGATTTTCAGATTTTTGGTGGTCATTTTGGACTATTTGTACATGCATAATGAAATACATTGAGTATGGACCAAAGTTAAACATGAAATTCATTTATGGTTCCTATACACATAGCCTGAAGGTAATTTTATACAATAGTTTTGGATTGCAGAGTTTTGACTGCAACCTGTCACTTGAGGTCAGGTATAGAACTTTCCACTGTGACATCTTATTGGTGTTCAAAATGTTAGGAATTTTGGAGCATTTCAGATTTTCAGGTTAGGGATGCTCAACCCGTGCTGTTCTGACCCAGTATAGTATTCTATGGTATGACTATTCCATAATTTCTCTGGATTGAACAATGCAATTCAGGTTGTTTCCAACTTCCGTTGAAATGGCAATTGACTGGATGGCATCCCTGGAATGCCTCCCTGAAATACTTTGAGAACGCAGAAATGAAGGGTGAAATCGCTGGGCCCTAGGTCAAACATTTAAAAATTTTAGTAAATACTGCCAAGTTGCCTTTTTTCCCTATATTTGTTTATTTATTTCTTCTATGAGATACACACAAGGACTCCTAAAGGGTCCCCACCAAAAACCCACCCCTAGTGACTGCTGGCTGGGATGATGGGCATGCAAAAGTATACTGCACACTCAGGGAGGTCTGGGAATGCAAACCTGGGGCCTTTTCCATGTGGGTCCAGTTGTTACTGCTGCACCAGCACCTAATCCCCACATTACCTTTTCACTGCAACCCAAGCCACTTACCTCCCCATTGGTGGATGAGAGTGTTTCTCTTCATACTCTTGCCAACACTGGATGGACTCAAACTTCTAACAGTTGTTAGTTTGTTAGGTCAAAACTAGTATTGTTGTTTGTTTCCATTGTCCATCTGTATTTCCTCTTCTGGGATCTGATCCAGCTTGAGCTATTAACATGGCTTCTATTGAATCCTCTGTTATTTCCATAGCTTTTCCTGACTGAGGAGTCACAACCCCTGCGTCCTGCTAATGGCAGGATAAAGAGAGGACAGGGTAAGGGGCAGAGAGGTTGAATGAAAGCAATGGTCTTCCTTCTGCTCAGCAGGTGAGACTGAAAGTCAGAAAAGCCTGCAAGACTCCGGAGTCCAATCTGGTCCAAGTATGTCCTCGGTGGGGCTTGAGGGGTGCAGGGGAGGAGGGACAGCATCTAGGGAATGGCTCCAACTGGGCTGGGCAGGCTGGAGGTTAGGCCCCAGCTGCTCTCTTGCCTGACACCTCCTGGGCTTATCCTGACTTCCTTTGTCTTCCCTTCCTGCAGACAGAAACCCCGGATACAGGGAGAAGTGGGGAGACGGGCAGGTGGGGCGGTGCAAAGGTGAAGTCCGGGCTCAACCTTCATATCCAGTGGTGCAGATGCCACGACTTTCGGTTGGAGCTGGTGCCACTGTGTACACCTGTGGCTGTCTGCCTGCTGCTGCCCTTCATCCGGTGCCCGCTCTGTGCCAGCCCCTTCCACCTGCACTGCCCACCAGGCCCATGTGGCTGCTCAGGCTCCTTGGTTTCCTCTTGATGCTCAGGGCCTTCCCAGGGGCCACAGGTAAGGGGGAGACTGGGAGGCAGCCAGAGAGATGCTCTGGATGGTCTCTGGTAGGTGGGGAGTGTGGCTCTGAGGGGGATGTCAAGGAGGACAGAGACGGGGCAGAAGGGACACTAGGTCACACTGCTGTCTCGCCCTAGAACTGAGCAAGTTCCGGGGGTCAGAGCTTGCACCTGCACCTGGAGGGAGGGAGTCACCCCTTCCCAGATCAGTACTCTCCCTACTCTGACTGTTTCTGGGCACCCCGACCCAGTCCTGGGGCTTCCTCCACATTGGAGTCTGTCCCTGTCTTTACTTCCACATGTCCCACCTGTGCCTTCCTGAGAGTCCCTTTCTCTGCCCCCAGTCTCTCTCCTCTTTCTGGGTTCTCTGACTTTGGTCCTCAGCTCTGCCGCTCACTCTCCCAGGCCCCCTGAGGGCTGTGTTTCTGGACACGGCTGCTACCACCAGAGCTGGGACAGTGAGATTCTGAAGACCACTTTGCTCCCAAGGGTGTGTCCGAGACTCCCAGGGTATGGGGTTCTGGGCCTGGGAAATGGGGTAGTACGTAACCAGGCCTTTTCAGTCTTGCCTCTCCAAACCTCACAATTCCCTGCACTTCCCTCTTCCCTGCCTGCCTGTGTCTGTTCCTGACCCTAATCCTAGACTGTCCCAACCTAGAGACCCATGGCTCACTTTCTGACTCACCTCTAGGGCCACATCCTGGATCTGAGGGCTCTAGCCCAGGAATCCTCATAATCCCCCCAACTCAACTCTCCCAACATCCCCAGCTAGGCTGAGCAGTGACTCCCCAGCTTTCAGAAACAAAGACAAGCTGTATCGGGGAAGAAAGTCTATGGCTGAGTGGGGAGGTCTGGTGCTTCCTGCTTGCCATAGCTGTGGCTGCCTGTCCCCCTTGTCCACAGCACAGGGGATCTCTGATCCTCAGTGTAACCATCTATAAAATGGGTTGATGAAATCTATACAAGGGGTTCATGCTTGTAAATGAATTAATCCAGTGGCCAAAACAGAATCATTATATAAAATATGTCTATTTTTGTGATTAACACTGGCCACTAAATTTGGAGGTCTCCAGAACCCATGCCTGCCAGCTGAGGTAACCTTTCTTGGAAGTTTTCATCTCTAACTTAACCCTTGGCTTCTCAGTGTGGTCCTCTCCCTCCATGTTTCTCAATTTCAGTAGTGTCTGAACTTCAGTGTCTTTGTTTCCCTATGACTTTCTCTATGCAGTTTTCCCCTTTTTGACCCCTCGTACCCTGGTTTCCATGATGTGATTCCACCACTATGCTGGCCTTGCCTGGGTTATCACTTCCTCTGAGAAGGAGAGTCAACCTAGACAGCAGTAGGATATAGTGACAAGGGTCAAACGGTGGGGCAGAGAGGTAGAAACAGTGAGGGGATCCCAGGCAGTTCTGGGGACACAAACCTGGAGCTTTTCCCATGTGGGTCTAGTTGTTACTGCTGCACCAACACCTGATCCCCACATTGCCTTTTCACAGCAACCCAAGTCACTTACCTTCCCATAAATGGAGGACAGGAAAGGGTGAGGATGGGAGGGCTTGGAGTGTGGAGAGGGGAGCAGGAGAGAGCCTCAGCCATCCCAGGTCCTCCAGGAAGGTTGGCCACTCAGGACAAGCCCAGGCAAGGGGCCAAGGGTGCCCCACCCACACTGTTCCCCCAGAGTAGAGAGATGGTGGGCTTTAGTGCCCAAAAGGGCCCAGCACCAACTGCTTCTGATGGGACTGTAAGCTATGGCACATTTCCTGTCTGGGAAATGTAGTAGAGCATAACCCACATGAGGCAATGGTAACAGGACCTACTTGGTCACCAATGGGTGCCTCTGTTCTACCACTAATACAGGAACTGTATCCATGGCCACATCTACTTCTAATGCACCTTCTCCCAGTGCAGAAGCAGCCAGTGCTTCCCCCAGCAATTCCCCACGTCCCAAAGGTGCAGCAGGGTGGCCACTGAGGACTCCCCAAACCACTTCTGCTCCTCGCAACGGTGAAGACACACCAGTGACAGTCACTGCATCCCCTGATTTTCAACTCTTTTCTGAAACATTGCTCGAACTTTCAGTCAGTTCTAATACCTTAACAATTCCAAGGTCTCGGTTTGTCATCAAGGTTGAAACCACTCCACCTTCAGTCTTTATCTACACACCCACCACCGAGTGTGTGTACCCAACCAGCTTTATAATCACCTCCACCCATCCCACCTCCACCTGTGTGACCATGACTCAAGTGTCCATCACTAGCTCTTACACCACCACTCCCAAGACAGAAAAGCCAGTGACAACTATCACCAGGACTTATCCTACTACCACTATCAAGAAAGCAACTTCAGCCATGACCTCTTCCCCTACTACTACCACCATGATGGGAATTCCTAGCACGATGGACCCACCTTCCTCCTCCATCTCAACCGTAAGCACAACCCTCAGGACCATGACCTCCTCTACAACTGATACCATAAGAAGGACTACCCTGACCACTGAGAATATCTACACAACAACGTCCCCTCCAGGAATTACTTCTGTGTCAGCTATGACCCTTTCTGTAATTACTACCAAAACTTTTCTAACAACAGCAACTGACAAAACTTTCTTATCTACTTCCAGCAGCACCTTGATTACACCATCCACTACCACAACTTCATTTCCTCACACTAGCAGTACATTTAAAACAGGAATTACTGTCACTCTTTCACCCACCTCTTCCAGTAAACTAACACCTACAACAACTGTTCCTTCTGCATCTACTGAAGCAACCACTCAGCTAGATAAATCAACAATGACAACAACCATTTTGAGCTCTGAGAAAACAATGCATTCTCCAATGAGCGGTAGTACCAGAGAAACCCTCACTACAGAAATTACATCTACTTCCCCAACCATTTCATTGACTAACTTTACTCTGACGACCACCAGTACCAAAACAACACCCACAAGTAGGCTTCTGTCTTCCACAACTTCAGACATCTACTCCACATTGGACACATCTAAAATTTCCATCACCCATCTTCCCACTACTGTGGTGACTTCCACAACCATAATCCCTACAGAAACAGGCCAGGACATCACTACTCTTAGTGCCTCAGTTAATGGAAACACCACATTGACTATTACCACAAAAAATTCTACAGAATCTCTCAAGACTGAAAAGACTTCTACTCCTCTAACCACTTCTTCAATTACTCATGCCAACACAGCGACTACAGAAAAAACTATTGTATATCCGCTCATAACCACAAGTGATTTAACATCACCCACAGGTAGGATCCCATCTTCCACATCTGTCCTAAGCACAGATCCAGTCACCAGTGTTATCACAGACACCACCCCTTTATCTACCTTGATTTCCACAATTGCTCCTACAAACAACTGGTCTACCCATACTTCTGGGACCACCTATGCTAATTCTCCCACTAGTGATATCACCAACCCCATGACTACCTCTCCCACAGACAAATTGACCACTGCCACTCTTCTCACACCCATCTCTCCATCGCTGTCCACTGCAGAAACAGTCAGGACTGCTACCACAAACTTAGTAGCAACAGGCACCCTGGACTCTTCACGCAGTACTTCCAGCTTCACCTCTTCGGACATCTACTCCACATCCAGTTTATCCACAAGTACCATCACCTTGCCTCCAACTAATCTGGTTCCTGTGGAGTCAACCACAGACATAAGTCCAACTTCTCTTAGTACAGGCATCCCTTCTGTAACACCAACGAGTATCATTTACTCATCTATGGATACCAGTAGTTCAATGACCATGACAACAGACCTCACTTCAACACTCGCAGCTTCCAGTCCTTCAGCAACTCTCACAGATATGATTCCATCTCTCTCCACCATCCAGAACACAGACACAACATCGCTTGCTAGCAATATCCCTACCAACACTCCCACCACAACCACTACCTCCAACATAGACACCATATCAACAACTGTGGAGCCATCTCCAGCCACCACAGCAACTACAGAAAGAGGACACATGACCTTCACCACTCCTCGTGCCACAGCTACTGGGAAAACCACCCTAACTCCTACCACTGTTGATTCTCTAGAATCTATTATAACTCAAATGATTTCTACTCCTCCAACCACTTCTTCCATCACTCCCACTGAAACAGTGAGTTCTGGGACAACTATCACACCACTTTCCATGACCACCAGTGATTTAACATCACCCACAGGTAGAATCCCATCTTCCACATCTGTCCTAAGCACAGAACCAGTCACAGACACCACTCCTCTATCTACCTTGATTTCCACAATTGCTCCTACCAACAACTGGTCTACCCATACTTCTGGGACCACTTATGCTAATTCTCCCACTAGTGATATCATGAACCCCACGACTACCTCTCCCACAGACAAATTGACCACTGCCACTCTTCTCACACCCGTCTCTCCATCTCTGTCCACTGCAGAAACAGTTAGGACTGCTACCACAAACTTAGTAGCAACAGGCACCCTGGACTCTTCACGCAGTACTTCCAGCTTCACCTCTTCGGACATCTACTCCACATCCAGTTTATCCACAAGTACCATCACCTTGCCTCCAACTAATCTGGTTCCTGTGGAGTCAACCACAGACATAAGTCCAACTTCTCTTAGTACAGGCATCCCTTCTGTAACACCAACGAGTATCATTTACTCATCTATGGATACCAGTAGTTCAATGACCATGACAACAGACCTCACTTCAACACTCGCAGCTTCCAGTCCTTCAGCAACTCTCACAGATATGATTCCATCTCTCTCCACCATCCAGAACACAGACACAACATCGCTTGCTAGCAATATCCCTACCAACACTCCCACCACAACCACTACCTCCAACATAGACACCATATCAACAACTGTGGAGCCATCTCCAGCCACCACAGCAACTACAGAAAGAGGACACATGACCTTCACCACTCCTCGTGCCACAGCTACTGGGAAAACCACCCTAACTCCTACCACTGTTGATTCTCTAGAATCTATTATAACTCAAATGATTTCTACTCCTCCAACCACTTCTTCCATCACTCCCACTGAAACAGTGAGTTCTGGGACAACTATCACACCACTTTCCATGACCACCAGTGATTTAACATCACCCACAGGTAGAATCCCATCTTCCACATCTGTCCTAAGCACAGATCCAGTCACCAGTGTTACCACAGACACCACCCCATTATCTACTTTGATTTCCACAATTGCTCCTACCAACAACTGGTCTACCCATACTTCTGGGACCACTTATGCTAATTCTCCCACTAGTGATATCATGAACCCCACGACTACCTCTCCCACAGACAAATTGACCACTGCCACTCTTCTCACACCCGTCTCTCCATCTCTGTCCACTGCAGAAACAGTTAGGACTGCTACCACAAACTTAGTAGCAACAGGCACCCTGGACTCTTCACGCAGTACTTCCAGCTTCACCTCTTCGGACATCTACTCCACATCCAGTTTATCCACAAGTACCATCACCTTGCCTCCAACTAATCTGGTTCCTGTGGAGTCAACCACAGACATAAGTCCAACTTCTCTTAGTACAGGCATCCCTTCTGTAACACCAACGAGTATCATTTACTCATCTATGGATACCAGTAGTTCAATGACCATGACAACAGACCTCACTTCAACACTCGCAGCTTCCAGTCCTTCAGCAACTCTCACAGATATGATTCCATCTCTCTCCACCATCCAGAACACAGACACAACATCGCTTGCTAGCAATATCCCTACCAACACTCCCACCACAACCACTACCTCCAACATAGACACCATATCAACAACTGTGGAGCCATCTCCAGCCACCACAGCAACTACAGAAAGAGGACACATGACCTTCACCACTCCTCGTGCCACAGCTACTGGGAAAACCACACTAACTCCTACCACTTTTGATTCTCTAGAATCTATTATAACTCAAATGATTTCTACTCCTCCAACCACTTCTTCCATCACTCCCACTGAAACAGTGAGTTCTGGGACAACTATCACACCACTTTCCATGACCACCAGTGATTTAACATCACCCACAGGTAGGATCCCATCTTCCACATCTGTCC